CCAGTGTTTTTGGTTGAACCGGTTGAGTATTTATAAAAGAAGATGGTATTAATTCCATGGTCGACATTTTCTAACGCAAATTTATTGGAATAATTAATCGACTCTGATATCCAAGATTTTTTGATATTCTAAAGAAAATATAGAAGAAGAAAAACATAGATGTTTGAATACTCAAGATGATAGGTTGCGAAAACACTATCGATGTATTAAGATTTTCTTCTTTAACATTAGTTGTAGAATTGAATTCAACTTAAATGAATATGAAATCCAACACTGTCCTCATTTTGTATTCTTCACTTTGTTTATATAAAAGAAAAAAACAAAGTCTATGTCATATTGTTCTCTCATGAATTATATATAGAAATGTTTGCGAAGGTGAAAAAGTGTTACAGACTGATCTGCGTCGTTATTATTGTTTTTGTATTAAATCACACAATAGCTACCAAAATTGTTCACTACAGTGTATATTCAATTTTTTTCGACCATTTTAAATGCTAAATACTGATTCAAGTAGAGAAAAGCGTGTGACCAACATGAATATAAAGAAATAAAAATGATTTTCTTCGATTCCTCCAGATGCGACCGTCAGGAAATCAAATCTTTATTTTTTTAAACATTTACAACGGACAAATATTATTTTGTGCCGCGTATACAAAATAAGACAGCCAATGACATTTCAGGAAATGAAACATCTCTAAGTTCAATACGAGTTTTTTTTTTAATTTAGATACATTAGCCTTATAGAAGCTCTTGGGGGTCACTATATAATTACTTTTTCTGTAAAAAACTTCAATGTTATGTCTTCAATCCGATGGTTGCATCTCAACCAAAACAATATCTTACCAAACTCAGAGATGTTTCACTTCATAGAGAATCGTTTTTTCTAGTGCTTCGTATAGCCTTTACAAAATAATATTTGCCCGTTCTAGGTACTGAAAATCTAGAGATTTCATTTCTACTCGAAATATTTCAAATAGCAGAAAAAATTGAATATAAATTTTGTTAAATAATTTTATTAGCCATCGTATATATGATGTTGTTTTTTTTTATAATTAATATTATTATTGATTATATGGAAATAATCAATAAGTAGGTAGAAAAAAAATGAACAAATTATTCAGATGAGTAACACATATAATTTTACCGCTATCATAGTTAAGATATATATGACTATAGAGTGTTTTTTATTCGTTGATATAATTTTTTTTTCTAATGTGCTAAACATACAAATGAATAAGTATGAGAATATTTGTAATCAAAACATAAGACAAGACTTTTTTTTTTTGTTTATCATTCAATAATCAACACCTATTCTTTTTTATTTGAGAGAAGACAATATTTATGTAGACTGTATAAATTAAATATTATTACATATAATAGAAATAATAAAGAAAAAATTTTCTTGTGCTTCGGAATATTTCTTCTATTCTGTTATAAGGAGTTTTATTTTATTGAAATCGAATCGATAAAAATGTCAGTCTACTCTTATAATCATACGTAGGATAAGTTTAAAAATGAAATATTTATATTTCAAGATATGGATCTATCAATAGATGTATGCTTGTTTTTAAATCTAGTTTAACATATACAAGGTTGAAAGAAAAAAGAACTTTTGATTTCATCGTTGTTTCCATTATTTTTTATAATTCAAAATGCTGCATTGAAACAATTTGTTTGAGAGATTTCAAACATGACTAATAAAGATCGATTCTATTTCTCGAAGTAACATTGAAGAAACATAAGAAGATGATAGTTCAAATTTGATTTGTAAAAAACTTGAAAAATACAAACAACAAAAAGTCTCCGAAGACTAATAATCGACGGAGTAAAACTAGTTTATTGAAAAACCAGACATTCATTATCAATATTATCTTTAATAAAAGAGTGTCTAAAAAGTTTTATATTCTTGAGTAGTGGTCTTTTCTTATGTTTCTCCAATGAAAGAGGCTGATATTCACTTACTATTGAAAAGCTTTTACTTTATCGTGCATCAATTTTGATTTCTATTATTTTTCTAAGCTAGAGGCTAAAAGTTGTATAGCAACAATAAAATGTACGAACAAGTCACATGAATGGACTGATTGGATTTTAATGAGTAAGTAAAATCATAGCAGAGGTCGAAACGAAGACAACGTTTCACTCTGCGCCCTACCAGAAACAGCATGATTTCTAACAGTAGAAACCATTTTGATATCATGGAAATCAAACAAATAGTTTGCTAAAAATCTTAATCATAAACGAGCGTTGGCAAGTGTTTCCAGCTTTCAAGAAAGAAACACTATGACACGGTTCAATGAATCCTGAGTTTTGATAGTAGCGCTTTTGTTATAGATGTAAACTTGAATAATGAAAATTCGTTTATCATGATGAAATATTTTGGAATTAATAAACAAAACGAATGCATCTATTTGCAATATGTCTCTGATGTGCTTTTTTTGTGCACAATGTATCAACAAAAATTAGATCGAACAGACTTGTGTTTTTGTTCGATTCTTGTGTTCTGATAGAGATTTTTTAAATTGAAATCGTTACTAACACGATATCGAAATGTAATCGAAGGTTATTGACCATATTCCAACAAAGATTTTTTTAAATAAAGCATGTTTATTTTCTCAAATAAAACGAACGAAATTTCCATTTAAAAAAAAAAGAAATATATAATCAGTCTTATGATTCTGTTATAACGATAAATATTGAGATTGATTATTGAACTGTTAGTTATTGAATGAATATTATTTGATTTCACAATTCTTTGCATATAGATTCTATTGAACATTTCTACTTTATTAGTAAGTAATTTTCACCTTTGCATAGTAACAATAAAGAATGGGTTATTAAAAAATTCAATTCAATTCCTTCGGCGAATGGCAATATTTCAATAATAAAATTTGTTATAGTTGAGAAACCTATCAATATCGAGACAGTAAATTTATAGCGATTCAATAACACAATTCCACTAACACAAACTGTACATACTGCTAATATTCTTTTGCTCCGAGAATGACTAAGCATTTTTTTTTTCTATCATTGACACCATAGAAAGTATTTCGGACGAGTTCAAAGCTTGGAGTTTATGCTCTTATTGCATAATGGGCTTAAAAGTTGTGTCTGAGTTTTTTCTTGACAGTAGTGAAATAACCTTGGAAAAGTCCAAAAAATTGGGTTAGACAGAAATTTTTTTGCATTTTTTCTATTTTTATTCGAAAGCAAAAGTTAGAATATTTATTTATATATCAGCTGATAGATCAAAGCTATCCTATAAAATGCACTGTTCGAAGCTTTTTTGCCTTTCGATCAAATAACTCAACTTTCACTGGAACCTCACTTAGGTAAAAGTTACATCTTAGTGCAATAGCACATGTTGTAGAGAAGTGTTTGCTGTACAAAAAGATCGACTCAGACAATTTTTAGTATGTTCGAAAAGAAAACCTATTGGCTGATCATTAAAAATAATTTTTCTGATTTTTCAAAAAATTTCTTATTACTCTTGAACAATCAGAAATAATTTCTAGCAGATCACAAATGGACAAACATCTGGTCTAAAAATTTTCTCATTAGCCTTTAATATTTTTATTACTCTTAACTGCTACTACAGGCAGGGGGTAGCAGAAATTAGAGCTCCATCAAGAAATTTGATTGTACGATGTACCAAAAGAAATAACAGTCGCTGAGTCATTCTAGTTGATCAGGAAGCTCAAATGCGACTCATTAAAAATCGTCTATTGATATTAATCTCGATTCAAATTGTAGTATTGATGTGGAGAACATAAATAATCAGAGAATTTAATTATGAAGTAAAGATTATTTTCTGAAAGAACAGTCACTGGAACAAATATGTTTAGAAATCTTTAAACGTGTATACCAGTCTAAAATAATTTAACCTCTTAAAATAATTTTTTTTTTTAAATACAGAGTGATAAAATAAAATTGTAGATTTCTGATTTTATTTCACTCATTGTTAATTCAGTTTTCTTACAATATATTTCCTTTGAACTGTTTCGGAAAATATTTTACGAATGACAATTAATTCAAATCTTTGCTCGAAATAATAGTCTTAGAATTTCACTTTTATATTCTCGATGTATCTAATGAAATTTAAAAGAAAATCATTCTTATTAGATATCATCAACAAAGATTATTTTATAATTTCTTGTATATTCAATACAATTATATTCTGCTTTCTGCATGAACTCTTTTGAATCATGTAACATACCTAATGCATTTACAGGTAATATAAGAACTGGAAGAAATAAAACAATTAAAGCGAACAGTTACATTCTTTTTATGAAACATGATCTAAACAGAGTGTCGAAATGAATGGGTAAAAATTTGAACTCATTCTCGCACAATGTACATCTCGGTAGACATTCGGTTAAAAAATGAAAATAGCACTTTTTCAAGATGTAAAAGAATCGGGAACTATGCTTCGAAATATGGTCTATCGAATGCTATCATTTTGTTACAATCCGTAAAGATAGTGGAAAATCAGTTGCTCAAAATTATTCTGAAAATTATGATGTTACCGAGAAGAATTGTTTATAACAAAATGAAACCTTTTCGATAGACAAATCAAGTTTAAAAAAGTCCTTAGGGTTCATTTGTGTAGCCGTGTTTTTTTTTCTCAATGTTTCTATGCCATCTTGAAATGCTTGAAGAGCTCTCTGAATTCATATGAAAGTAGTATAGTTACTCATGATATTTGCAGATAGAAAATACTGATTATCATCAATGATCATTAAATATTTAAATCAATTTATGCATATTGTATTTAAATATCGTAAGACTAATTCTATCAAGGCTCAATTTCAAACACTCTGCGTGATAGTTTGACATAGATGAAATAAAATTTCTCGAAGAGAGGTTCAATGAGTTAAGACTTAACGCTACAAGTAAACAAGTTCGATTCTTTCACTTATTTTTGTATGTAATTTAATATTTGTGAAATGAATAAATGTTTATTTATTTTTTTTTTATACATAAGAAAAAACGATCCTATTTTTTCATTCACCACCACCTGTTGAAGCAGCAGCAGCAATATCTTGTAATTGTTTAGCTAATCTTTTTCGTTGTGCTAATGATGATTGAATACCAGCATTATTTGAATATCGAGAAAGACCATCTTCATCACTACTTTCACTTGAATCAGATGAATCTGTAAAGCCTTCAGCTGGACCTATTCCAGGTAAACGACCACCAGGTACAAGTAAACGTGGTAAACGTGCTGGTGGTTCTAATTTTGTTTGTTGTTGATCATTTTCTTCATTATCATCTTCTAATGGACGTTTTAATGTTTCATTTGTTGAACTAGAATAATTACTTTTTTTAATGAAAGAAAATAAAAATTCTTTTTTTCAATTAACCTTTTTCGTTTAACAATGCCACTAAGTAATTGTTTTTGTTTATTAACTACGGGTGGTATAATATGTTGTTTAATTGATGTTGGACGAGTATTTGCTGAAGCAGTTTCTAATTCTTTTTGAGCCTTGTATTTTATGGAGTTAAGGAAAAAAAAAAGTTTTTTTTATATAAAAGTAAACCTTATTCTTAGGAAAAAAAAGGATATTTTTAATTCTTCAATTTCTTCTTGTTCCATTCGTTTTAATTCACGTTGTTTTTCAACTTTAGCTCGATCTAAACGAGTTAAAAAATCTGTTTCATCTTCATCAAGACCACGAATTGAATTTTCTATAAAGGAAAAACAATTAGTATTAACAAATCAATACTTCTTTCTATATTTGTACTTGCTGCCCACGTATCTTCAAATTCCTGTTTTTTAGCATCATGTTGTGCTTTTAGTTTTTCATAGAGAGATCTTGTGTCAAATACTTCAGCTGGTGCTTCTATATAATATAAATATAGAATGAAATAAAATCAAGATAACAGAAAATATATATTATACCGATCGGATCAGTTGCTGATCGTACACGTTCCCAATCAGCTTGTCGTCGTTGTCGTTCAATTTCAATTTGTTCTTCAGTTAAAAATTGTTTTAAATTAGTCGATAATGAAGATTGATCAGTCATCGTTGATAAGTTCGCCTTAAATTAAGAAATAACCAAAAATAAATAGACTAGATGAATAAAATGGATCATTTTGTTATGCCTATTGGATATTCATTTCTGACCAAACACGATCGAGTGAAAGATGTCACTTATTGTTGTATTTCTTACAGATATTTGTGAGTAATCAGACTTAATCGTAAGAAATGCTGATAAAAAGAAATTATTAAAAGTAGACTGAATTTTTGGAAATTTAGTTTTTTTTTTTTATGGACATGAAATATTCCTAGAATTGATTTATTCCGTACAGATTGCCTTTTGGATATAGATATGTGTAATAAATATCCATGTCTCGAGAATGGTCCTGATTTTGAAAAAACAAAGATCGGCATAAAATCTTGATTACTGTACAAGAAAACACTTTTTGAAAATCGACTATAAATCAGAACAATAAAATCGTATTAAAAATAACCAAACAGGCTCTCTATGATTATTAACAGCAAGTACATCGTGTTTCAAATTGTAATTCTGCAGGACGTCTGCTAACATTTTTTTTTCTAAAGATCCACTCAAAAACCGATCTTGAACTAGATAAATTCAAATTGCGTGAGATTTTCAGCATATGTTGATGCTATAATGGGGGGCTAGGCTAAATTTTTAGTTTGCAACATTTCTTTCTTTCTCTCCGCATTTCATAATATGTTACAATATAAAAGAAAAGAGAAAACAAGTAAAAGTTTCTGAAGAGACAAGAATAAATAGACAACACTAAAGTAACAAAGACGCTGATAAATACCATAGATATGAAATAAGATCAGACAGAACTAGTACTTTTTGTATACTGTATAGAGTTAAACTAGAAATCAATCTTCAATAAAAAAAAGACCAAAATTACATTAGCACCGTTTTCTCTTTTTTTTTATCGTCGACAATACAGAAAACTTCCTAGAAGACATATTGACTCTCTATCCAACACAATGTATAATTAATTTTTCTTTAACTGTTTTCATGAAACACAAATCATAATGAGTCAAACTATGCACACAATGTCAAATAAAACACAGTCACGAAAAATAACCCATAAAATATTTCATATAGAAATGAAGACTTCTGTTGAAGTTAATTCATGAGAATCATGTATTGAACTTTAATGTCGTATTCAATTCTTTCCATTGAAACTCTGATCTAACAAAATCGTTCTTGTTTTGGAAGAAAAAGTGTATAGTACTCAATTTGATGTATCTCATTAGTCGTAATCCTACAGCTAGAAAATATAATCAAAGATAAATATTGTTGTTCTCGACAAATTACAAGAAAAATTGTGTACAGAATAATAATTTTATCAGAGAGATAAAACACTATCAAAATGTACTCTTTTATTTTCACTTTATGTCTATTATGAGGGAAAAACAACTGAGATTTCAGTTTTGAAGTCCCATGAAGTCTTCTGGATTTTTTTTGACGTACACTTAGTGCACGAAAAATTCATAAGAAAACCAATGAAATAGTAAGATTTTTGATGATCATATTTTAGCAAAAATGTGAACTTTTATTGTTTTGTTAATCTGCTGGAAATGTCCGTGTTCCTTTGAACTTAAAAAAAAGTATAGTTAATAGTTCAATTCTTTTTAATGAAGTTATTTATTTCCATTAGAAATGTTCTATCAATTCGATATCAGCTTTAAGAAGAATTTTAATCTTTTTGTTTGTTTCTATTACTCGTGAAAGTCTATCAGCCGATAAACGGCTAGTTTTATCGGTCAATAACCAAAAAGCTGTTTGCTTATATATATAAATTTAGGCTTGCTATTTATTTGCACCTAAAAATAAGGGCTCTTCATTGCTGAATTGATCAAATGATATATATCTATATCATCACAGTCCACCTGATTAATTTTTATTTCATCAACATTTTCTGTGATTGTCACAACGGGAAAGAAGCGAAACTTCAGGAGTGCGTACTTACCTCGTACTTCCATGATACGTCCATCGCACTTTCATGATACTTCCTCGTACTTCCATAGTACTTCCTTGTATTCCATTATACTTCTCTGTAATTCACAGTACTTTCGCAGATGGTTAGAATCAGTTTTTTAATTGCTAATACATCGGCATTTGATCTTTATCAATAGAGATGGGTTCACTTTCTAAGAGAAAATCTCATTAAATAAAGTGTACTTTTGAATGAAGAACATTTAATTTCGTATTATCGTTGAGTCATTCATATATAAATTTCTTACTGAATGAAGCGTAGGTAGATATAGCTTTCAAAAATACAAAATAAATAATAGTTATCGAGCGGAAAAAATTTAAAAGAAGTTATCTCAGTAGAGGTGTTAACGTTTCCGTTCCTAGGAACGAAAACGCGTCTCAAAATTGCATTTTTCATCTTTGTTTCAATATGGTGAGGTTTCTAGACATGTTCTCTTGTATTTTTCTGTTTGGGTGCTCAGCGTTCCTCGTTCCCAGAAATGGGAACGGGAACGCGACATGGTTTCCCTTAACTTTTAACGAAAGGCTTCCGAATTCATGGAACGAAAGGCAATTTCCTACCAATACCGATACTTTATAAAGTGTGACCGAAGATAATCAAGGTCGAGAAATTCGAATCTGCCATTGGTTTCTCAAAATTTTGAGTTTGATGTTTTTTGCTAAAAAAATTTTTTTCAGTGGAAAAATCAAACTCAAAATTTTGAAAAACGAATTGCAGATTCGGATTCCTCGACCCCGACCACTTCTGGTCAAACTTTATAAAAAAAATCGTCATTTTTCGAAAATAGTCTTTCCTTGACAGAAAAAGATCAAACTCAAAATTTTGAGAAACTGATTTCAGATTTGGATTTCTCGACCCCGATTACCTTCGGTCAAATTTTATAAAATATCGTTATTTTCAAGAAATTGTCTTTCGTTCGATGAATTCGGACGTTTCCCGTTAAAAGTTAAGGGAATCCATATCGCATTCCCGTTCCTAGGAACGGAACGCAAAAGTGACATCCTTACAGAAAATTATCCTCTGAAAACTGTTATTGAATGTATTATGTATCATAGTTTCGAATAATAGCGTACTTAACAAAAACCATGATATAGATATGAGAGGTCATTCATGGTCCAGCATAATTAATTGTCCTTCAGTACTTCTTTCCTTATAATTCCTTGTTCTTCATCTGTATTTCTCTCGTACTTTCATTATACTTCCTCGTTCTTCAAAAATATTTGGAAGTAGATGAAGTCCTGCTATTTCCCCCATTGACCGAACCCATCTATACAAAAGCACAACTCAAAAAACGACTAGAAGATGAATGGAATGATGTTGATCAACAGTTGTATCTATATTTGACTGATTCGATGCCAGATAGAAATTCAGAAATATTTTATTTAATTATGTTACTTATTTGCATATTTTGTTTTTGAAATGTAATAGAGAATAATGAAAAATATCTTAAACTTTTGACTATCGAGAAAAATATGTATGGCGCTGTACATCCTCAGCCAACAAGCAACTTGATCAAACAAATAAACCACGTAGAACTCAATTATGCTTACATATAGGGTGGAGTGTGGATCCCAGTTGTTTCTGTCTTCTTTTTGATAGCACTCACATTCACATCCACATCCATCGACTACCTCACATGTTGATTATGAAATTGCTAAATTGTGGAGTGAATTAAATCATGTCAAATCTTCACTAAGCAAGTCATCAATGTTTATAATGATAAAATAATCGAGTCGAGTATATATTACATTTTTGTTTGTATGAAGGGAAGAAAATTTATTTGTATACCATAATTTGCATGATCGTACATATTGATTTTATCAAAATAGAAGTCTTCTCATAATGACATCCATATTCTTTGATTTTTTTCTTTCATTTGAAAATGATGAACACATGTGGAACGCAATCATATGACTATCGATCGAAGAGATATATTTTGTTGATAATGATTAGAAAAGAAATGTTTATTCTCATAAAATTTTTCATTACTATTTCATTTCAAAGGTTTTAAAGTTGTCGCTGAATTATCATCATGAAAGAAAAATTATTGATTTAGATAGAAGATCTTTTTGAATAGAAATAATCAAGATGACTCTATAGGATATTATTCGAGATTATTTTTTGCATAGAGATTGTTCAAATGCATAAGTATGTTAACAATCAGGTGTCTTGATAACGTCAGACAATACGCAAATAGAAAATAATTACGAGTGATAAATCACGAAAGAGATAAGAGAAAAAAAAGTTCATTATTAATATATTTTTTCCATTATCGTCATTTAAATTATGTTTTTTTCCAATTTTGCCAAAGGACTTCCATCTGTTCAGAAAATAAAAAAAAACAAACATTCATGATTTTGTATTGAAAATCTGTTAGAAACAATTCTTTCATATCATTCCATTCTCTTGAATTAATTATGTGTCGCTTTCTGGTTTTATTTGTCTGTTTTATTCAACCTACTTATTATTTGAATACTGTTCAAATTCTTGGTCTTTTTCCTAAATATTACGATACAATTTCTCAGAATCTCAACGCAAATCAAAGTTCCCACTGGACAACTCAATCCATGGAAATGTTTGACGTAGCTATTATTCTGGCCGATCGCTATAAGATCTATGTGAATGGTCAACCTATCAAAGGCAATATTCTTCCGATAAATACAATTAGTAATGGATTTGCCGAATTTGAGCTTGTCTGTCAATCAATTTCTAATACAAATGAACACGATGTTTTAGGTATCGTCGGACCAACAAGCTCTACAAGTGCACGCTATCTTGGTCCATTTGCGGCACGTATAGGTATACCACTTGTTTCTTACACTGCAACTAATGCTGATCTTGATGACAAATTAAACTATCCAACATTCTATCGTACTATTCCTTCGGATATTCTTGCGGCTGAAGCAATTGTGAAATTATTTAAATATTTTTCATGGAAAACTTGTTCAATAATTATTGGAAATGATGATTATGGTTATGGTGGATTGAAACTATTAGCAGAAGGTCATTATACAAATTTGACGATTCAAGA